TGAATTGAAATCCTTGGCAGCTGTTTTATGCAAAAAAAAAATCAAAATTAACTTGCTGGTTTTTGGTGATTGAAACTGCCCTGCTAATTTATTAGATTATTTCAATATAAAAAAATAATAAATTGATCTACCTACAGTATAGTGGCTGAAGGGATATGCAAGCTAACCTGGCTCTTAGTTTATACAAATTTATTTTAGTTTAATTGCGTAGGAAGCTATATGCATATTGAAACACTCTCGAATCCGTTCCTGGAAAGCAATTAATGTAAAATTTCTTGCTCAAGGAAACAATGGCTTGTCCTTGACTGGGTCCAAATTCATGGAACCAGTAATCCTTGGGTTAATTACAACCACTTTGCCACCACTCTTAATACTGATAGGAGGAAGGGCTAAGCACTTTTGGTTTCATATGGTTAAGTAAATAATGAAATGATAATTGTCTGAATGCATTTATAAGGAATAAGGATGTACTTATAAATTTAATGCGGCTAGTTGAACACATATAAACTACTAAGGAAGTTATATAGTTTAATACTTACAATTTGAATAGATAATCTGTTTACTTACAATTTTCAATTTATATGGGAAGACAGTGACCAAATGACAACAAAGGAAATGAGTTAAACTTCTTTTTTTTTCTTCAATATCAAAACACACTGGAATAAGTAAGATTTTATTGTAATTACTGATAGAAATGAATTAATCTATGAATTTTAAGTTATATATAAATATATATATATTTATTATTTATTCAGGATTGTTAAATGTTCTTTTGTGAATATGTAATATACTTTTAGATTATTATAAGATACCTTGGAATACAGGGAAGATGGTTTATCTATAATAATGTCTGTTGGAACACTCAAAATATTCTTCAATTACTAACACCTGACAGGAATATTTACCTATGGTATTAAAATTTTATTGAATTTCAAATTCTTCAACTCAGGAAATAATGCTCATTACAGATTTTAATAGATATTTCTGATGGTTTTCATTTTATGTGAGAACGAGCTTGTCTACAGGTAGACGCAAGATAGATAGATATGCATTTGCCCAGCAATAATGGCATGTGCTTTAGTCAGTGTTCAAAGTCCAGTGTTAAAGTTCTACATTTTACATGTACAATATGAAATTGCAAAATTCCTACTGTGTTTTTAATATATATAGCATTAAATGATGTTGTAACATCAGTTTCGGAGATATTAAATTTTAAGGTAAGTTAATTTCATATTTATTAAAGAAGCATATGCACTAGTAACATTTTTAAAGTGGACTGTACATACAATTATTAATCATAAAATCTACCAAATCTTATGGGTAGTACTGGGTACAATTTTTTTTGCTGAAGATAAAATATGAAATACTGTATTAATTTATTTTCTTTAATCAAAGTTACATGCATTTGGGATATGTTATTTTTGAGGTAATCTTTTAGGTAAGTCTTTTGATTAACACAAATTTAATGATAAATTTTTGATAATTTTTACTATCTACATCAAAAAATGAGTTTATGGTTATACAAAATGTATGAAAATTTTTGTATCTTATATTTTAGAGAGCTATTAAAATTAGGGTGATAGCTTTGTTTAAATTTCCTTCCAGTATTTTTTAAAAAATTTTTTGCAACACAGTTACCAGCCCTTACCATGTTATAAGATGGCTTTAATAGACTTACTCTCTTTTGAATCTTGACAAATCATTTATGATTTCTGCGGGAAAAATTCGAAAAACGTATCGACTGAAAAGCCACTAGTGCTGACCATTTTTTAGAGAGCACATATAATAATTATTGTGCCAACTGATTCTGGTCTGCACTGGTCTCATGGTTGTAATTAATTTCTGCTAGCATGCTTAGGTTTGAACATTCACCTTTTTTCAGATGTTAATCATCAAATTATTGGAGATCTTCAATATAAAATATAGGAATTTCTTAGTTTCTTTCATTTTGGAAAACTGAAAAAAAAAACCCACTTAGTATATTTTTGTCTCTACTACTTTAATGCAAAGATAATCACTTCCAACAATTTGCTTTTGAACCTATTCATTCAAAGAGGAATAAAATTCTTGGCAAAATCAGCATGTTATAATTAGTAGTAAGCTATTTTTACCTGTCTAAAAAAATTAATAGATATTGTAACATTCTGTATGAATTTGATCAGTAAATGTATCTACCAATAATAAGCTGAATCTCTCTCTCTCTCTCTCTCTCATTCTTATATAAATAGTTTATTTTATTTGCCGGGGAAACAGATATAACTGGAAACAGTTAGATGAACAATTTGATTATAATAATTCTTTTCTCATATTCTGCTATATATTGGTAGATCTAGCATTCTTAGATAACCTGAATTGTACATAACAGTGTACAGTTAAACCTGTGGCCACCCAACTGAGAGACCAAGCATGACCTTTATAGACAAGAGGTCTTTATTTTGAGATTATTCCACTCTGTTTAATCAATGACGGGTTGCTGAGGAGACTGCTTTACATATACATGTAATTCACTTACCAGTAGTTTGAATACGACAATATTACAGTCTGCAAAAACAAATAGTTCAAGATGCTCAAGTCTGACATATAATATCATTTCTTTCATAATAATATGAGCCGCGTCATGACAAAACCAACATAATGGGTTTGCGCAGTCTGATCAGGATCCATGCTGTTCGCTATCAGTTTCTCTACTTGTAATAGGGTTGGTAAGCAAACAGCATGGATCCTGATCAGACTGCGCGGATGCACAGGCTGGTCTGGATCCATGCTGGTCGCAAACCCATTATGTTGGTTTTGTCATGGCACGGCTCATATCATTTCTTTTATAATAACATTTAATAGTAGCTTAATATATTTAAACCATGAACATAACACCACATCATGTTGATTTTATCTCTTTTATGACCTAAATAAATACTTGTATGTATTAATCTAAACCAAAATTTAAACTTCATTTGATGGCATAGTATTTTACTCGTCTATTATACAACATTTGCTACTGTTTTGCTTTATAATTAATTTAGATGATTATATTATCCTGATGAACCTAATCAAGTAAAGGTTAAAGTTTATTAGTATGTTTTTACAAAATTAAATTGGTCAGGCGTAAATGCTGTTTAATTAAATGCATGTTTTCTTTAAAAGTATACCTGCATGCACAGTTGTAATGAAAGAATTATGTGTTAAATAAGTAAAATACAGTCAGTGACAATCTCTTAGGGTTGTTGATTTTTTTCACCAACAGAAAAAGCTATAAAGCCATGGTATAAACCTGATATTGTGAATAAAAACATAAAATCTAATGCCCAACACACATAAATATTGTATTTTATTTGTCCAGTCCAGCAACTTGATCCCTACCCCACTATCTTTTATTATTATTTATTCAGTAACAATATACTTTAAACAATATAGCATTACATATTCTTTAATATATATACATTGGATATGCTCTATATATTTATTGAAATCTAGATTTATCATTTAATACCAAAATAAATTAGTTTTTCTTCATCTGAATTGGTGAGATTTTCTTTAGTATGTGTATTTACTTTTAAGTTGTTTTTTTTTAAAGATGTTTGAATAGAGTGTTGATGCATGAACATGTATCGTAATCACAATAAAGGTAGTGTTGCGGAAAATTACTTAACCAGCCTGGCAAAAAAATTAAGTTATTTAAACAATATTTAACTCATATTAGCTGGGAATTTAAACCGTAAATAGTAAAATATAGGCTTGTATCTGAAGTTTGCTTTTTTTGGTATATAAGTTTGTTCATCCATTAATTTTATATAAGCTAGATGAATGGATTGCTGTAATACATTAATTATAGCAAAACAGAAGGTATGCATACAATGTTTGCAATTAAACGTTTTCTAACATTGAAATTTTCTTACCTGTTGTGTGTATGCTGAGTACAGTTTGTAGTTTTATTTGTAAACTGTAATAAAGATTCAGGAGGAAATTAAGGAATATTGGAACTGTTAAAAAAATAATTATGCAGGGAAATTTTGTGTGAAAGCTATTTGCATTAATGGTATAAATAGACGTTATCCAGGACCTCAGCAAATGTGGGTTTTGCCCGGCTAATCTGTAGGTACAAACTAACTTTTACCGTTAAAGTTTCAAGGTGCACTACCCGTCACAATAGATTAGTCAACCTGTTTCGCTTATTTTCAAAGCTGTAACTGTATAAGTTTGTTTGTACCTACAGAGTAGCTGGGAAAAAAACCCCAAATATTCTTGATTCCAGAGTATATGTCTATTACTGTGAAATTCCTATTAAACGCTCCCGTTTTATTAGGGGAGGGGCGTTTATTACGAATTTAATGGTATATAATGTGTTTAGACAATTGTTAAGGAAATCAAAAGATATACTTGAACTTTGGACTTGATGAAAAAGGGAAAAAAAGGATTTGTGATATTGTACACAGTGCTGATTCATGCACAAATAAGCATCCTCTTGTGAAAAATAATAATAAATTTACCCTTATGGGGCACAGTGATAGGTTTATACGGCCTTGAAATCGAGGAGTATCAAGTTGGAGTCTTATCATTGGGACTGCTAGTTCAGGCTACATTGCCTTACTTTGCTCAGGGGTATTATATAGGGCAGTATAATTCTGTGGTGTCAACATGTGGACTGCAGTGGAGTGAAAGACTCCCTTAAATGTGATCAATCTAAGGCTCCTTCAAATGTGATCAACAGATCAATTCTATTATAAGCAAAAATGAACAATGATAAAGCCATTAAGTCTGTGAACATGCTGCATACATGAATTGTACACTAATAATGCATCTACTCTACCATGCTGTATACAAATATAAAACATTCATTTACATGTTTCAAGATGGAATATTTTGCCATTTCAGATGGAATATGTTGCCAGTTTATGTACATTGTAATCTGCTAACTTGCTTACCAAAATCATTGGTAGATTTAGTGAGTTTTCTGAATCATGCATGAATTGTATCATTAATAAGATTTGTAATATTGAACTTTGATTCATATTTTCATTTCAGGTTATTTAATAACAAATGTTAACAGTCAATTATAAGGAAGCTGAAACAGAAGAATTAATGTGGTAAATTAAATAAAAAAGCGGAAAAGGAAGAAAAGATCTGTAACCATGGAAACTGCAACAGTAGAATCTCAACAGGAAATGACAGGACCAGAGGATGTTAAAAGGTAAATTTTTTTAGAAATTTTACAATTTAGGAAAATTTTACAATTTAGGAAAATTTTACAATTTAGGAAAATTTTATAATTAAGGAAACAATAAATTGAACCTTAACTGGCTGAAATTGGGTAACTTCTGCAATGGACATGTTTTGCTTTACTATACAGAACACATATTACATGGACTAGTGATATGAAACAGTCAAAAGTTTGATGAAATCACATCTATATATATATTTATATATATATGCCAATTAGCACGAAGAAAACGCAACAGGCGCTTCGGTTTAGTGCTGTGGTTAGCATACTGGACCAGCAAACCAGAGACCCTTGGTTCGAGTTCTGCCTGCGGTGTGCCGATTGTTCGTGTGATTTTTAGCTCACCTGTCACTTTGTGACAGGGTGAGCTTTTGTGATCGCTTTTCGTCCGGCGTCCGTCCGTCGTCCGTCCGTCTGTCATCCGTAAACTTTTATTTTAAATGACATCTCCTCATAAGCCACTAAGCCAATTTCATCCAAACTTCACAGAAATGTTTCTTTGGTGGTTACCTTTGAAAATTGTTCAAAGAATTTAATTCCATGCAGAACTCTGGTTGCCATGGCAACCAAAAGAAAAAACTTTAAATATCTTCTTCTAAAAAACCCAAAGAGCTAGGGCTTAGATATTTGGCATGAAACATCTTCTAGTGAGTGTCTACCAAGTTTGTTCAAATAAAAGCCCTGGGGTCAAAATTGGCCCTGCCCCAGGGGTCATTGATTTTCCCTATATGTATATAGTAAAAACTTTAAAAATCTTCTTTTAAAGAACCCAAAGAGCTAGAGCTAAGATATTTAGCATGAAACATGTTCTAATGGATGTCTACCAAGTTTGTTCAAATAAGAGCCCTGGGGTCAAAATTGGCCCCGCCCCAGGGGGTCATTGATTTTCCCTATATGCATATAGTAAAAACTTTAAAAAATTTCTTTTAAAGAACTCAAAGAGCTAGAGCTAAGATATTTAGCATGAAACATGTTCTAATGGGTGTCTACCAAGTTTGTTCAAATAAAAGCCCTGGGGTCAAAATTGGCCCCACCCCGGGGATCATTGATTTTCCTTATATGTGTATAGCAAAAAGTTAAAAAATCTTCTTTGAAAAAACCCAAATAGCTAGAGTTTAGATATTAAGCATGAAACATCTTCTAGTGAGTGTCTACAAAGTTTGTTCAAATAAAAGCGCTCGGGTGAAAATTGGCCCTGCCGGGGGGAGGGAGGAGAGATGGAGATCATTGTTTTTCATTATATGTGTGTAGTAAAAACTTAACATTGTGAAACATCTTCTAATGAGTATCTACCAAGTTTGTTCAAATAAAAGCCTTGGGGTTTAAACTGGCCCCGCCCTGGGGGCCTATATACAGGTGAGCGACCTCAGGGCCATCATGGCCCTCTTGTTTAATCTGGACAAAACAAGACCATTCATAAATTTTTGGCAAAAGTTTGAAATACCAGGTACATGTTGACTGAATAGCAAACAGTGCAGACCATGATCAGATGGCATGGATGTTCTAACTAATCTTGGTCTGCACTGGTCACATGAGTATATTTAGCTGCTGCAAGCAAAGGATCAATGAAGTCACTGTCGAACGGTTGTTTTATTAGTTAACCTTTTACCCCATGAGCATATTGCAAAAAATGGCCGTTTTCATTGAAATGCCTCCTGTAACAAGTTCAAACTGCTATGAAACTATGAAAAAATGCTTCAATACTAATGAAACTTGGCACAAATGTTGACTAGACCATAGCCTCTGTAACAGCATGCTCAATTTCCTGTTACCATGGCAACGGGGGGACGTCTCAAAATTGCCAAAAATCACTATTTTGCATTGTTTTTGTTCCATCAAAACTGATTTCAAAGTGCTGCAACTTCTCAATAAATTGAGATAGAGTAAAAGGCTTTTCAGCCTCGGTTACTAGTTACCCTAAGATCCAAAATTTTCTTGGCGATGAGGGGGACTACCGGCCCCCCTTCAAACCCCCAAAACAGAAGGGGGCACAACCCCTTCTGGCAACCCCCTAATGTAACATTTTGATGGGGGACAGCGCCAAAAATGTGGTCACCTTTTTTAGCAACATTTCTCAAATGAAAAACAGTGCTTGGGGCCTAAATAGGGCATTTTTTCACTGTTTGAGGCCTCAAAAAAGGGGAGAGGGGGGGGGGGGGCAAAAAGCCGTCAAAACAAGCTTATATGAGGGAAAAGGTTATGGTATAAAGTTATGAAATTGGCATGAAGCAGTTTGATTTTCATTTAAAAATATAAGGTCCCTAGTAAATGCTATTGTCAGTATCTGTAAATGTCAAATTTTATTGAGAGCTGCATGAAAGTATAACAGTTCAACAATGAAAGAATTAATACTTGAAATTGTTTGGTTAAAATACAGTACTACAAATTTTGCTGTCAGCAGTAATGAAAGTACATAGAAAGTACATAGAAAGTACATAGAAAGTACATAGAAAGTGCATAGAGAGTACATAGAAAGTACATAGAAAGTACATAAACTCTTAGAGGCACATTAAGCCTTCAAAATGCTATCATTTTTATTTCTCTTTTTTTTTTTATAGCTTGTTTACAGTTAAAATTGTTTTCAAAAAAAGTCATTGGCCGTTATAGATGAACTATTTTTTGCTTTTTTGGTCACTGACCTCGGGTATAATTATAGATAGGCTGAGAGTTAGTGATTGTCAAACTTGATGATGCATTGCTCTTCTACCTTTTAAAACATATTTATGGGCCATTACATATCTTTTTTGAAAATGTTTATTTGGAAATTACGGGTCAGAGAATTGTGTTGTTATTTAAGATAAGGAGTTTTATTTTTACATCGGTTAGGACTTACAAACTTGTTTTTATTGTAGGTATTATGTCTTTTGTCAAATAACCTTAAAGCTGCATGCCTCCAAATGAGCAAAATTATTTTTAAAAAAATCAAACTTGAGAAAAATATAAATGAGATTTTAAGAAATGTAAAAAGATTCAATATTCAAGGAATAATGTATGTGTTATGTGCGATTAAGGACAGGTTTTGCAGTATTTAACACTATATTGCTACTGCGTGACTAATTTCTACTGTGTGACTAACGCAGTAAATCTATTTTTGGATATTTTGACCTATTTTTGGTAATTTATGTGGACTGTTGCTGCTGTTTGTAATGTATTTATTACTCATTTAGCAATATTTTACCTTATATACATTTTAAAAATTTTCTTGAAAATAAGCTTGAATCTGGAGGCAAGCTGCATTATTACTTTAAATGTGGATATTTCCGCATGTTGAAAATTAAGTTAGCGAATGTAAAATTCCAGACATTTAGTGTGATGAAATATTAGCATGCAAGGGTAGAATTTAATTAAAGGTTTGTTGTTTTTACGCTATAGTAAATTTTAGCGATTTACATCAATCTCTGAAGTTTACAAATATTTCCACATCGCTAAACTTAACCACTTGTACAATAGTTTTCTTCACATTAAAAAAGATGAAAATAAGATCTGCTGTAACTGATAATTTGTAGCTGAAAGTAGTAAAGTATGAGATACTGAAGTTTTTCTTTATTGTACAATGTACTTGTAGTTTGATGTAACAACGTATATGAAGTTTTTGTGTAGTTAAATTTTCTTTTTACAATATCTTATTTATTACTTTAGGTTTTTACTTAAAACTTCAAATGTTTGTTCCTGTAATCGTCACCTTCATCATATGTGATAAGGTACATAACTCTAGCACCCATATAATTATGATGTAGAAAAGTTGGACATTTGAGTTTTATCTTGAAATTGATTTTCAATTGTTTTTTGCTTTTGTTTTATCTTTCTTTACTGCATCTAGTAGTAGATATGTCAAGCGTGCTGTCTTTTCTTTAAATGCAAAAACAGAATTTGACTAGATTTTCAATTCCTACCGATGTAGAACATTCAGTTGTGTTAGTTATTGTGCTGTTCTGACTTACTGTTTGCTTCATAGCTACCAAGTTTAAAATACAGTACATTTAATTACCTTATATATGTTGAATTTTATTTTCATGTTCTTATTTTATTGCAAGTTTTATGGGAGAGTGGTTGAATTGTGTAACTTATTGTGCTATTCAGATTAACTGTTTGCTTCGAATTAATTCATAGCTACCAACTTTTAAATATATAAATTCACTAGAAATGTGTTAAATTTTATTTTTCATGACTTTTCTAATATTTTATGGCAATTTTTATGGGAGAGTGGTTAAATGCGGCCACTGACTTTGAATAACTTACTCAAACTATAGTTGATAGTATATAAATTCTATTTTTAGCTCACCTGTCACAAAGTGACAGGGTGAGCTTTTGTGATCGCTTTTCGTCCGGCGTCCCTCCGGCGTCCGTAAACTTTTACTTTAATTAAATGACATCTCCTCATAAACCACAAGGCCAATTTTATCCAAACTTCACAGGAATGTTCCTTTGGTGGTCACCTTTAAAAATTGTTCAAAGACTTTAATTCCATGCAGAACTCTGGTTGCCATGGCAACCGAAAGAAAAAACTTTAAATATCTTCTTTTAAAAACCCAAAGAGCTAGAGCTTAGATATTTGGCATGAAACATCTTCTAGTGAGTGTCTACCAAGTTTGTTCAAATAAAAGCCCTGGGGTCAAAATTGGCCCCGCCCCAGGGGGTCATTAATTTTCCCTATATGCATATAGTAAAAACTTAAAATATCTTCTTTTAAAGATCCCAAAGAGCTAGAGCTAAGATATTTTGCATGAAACATGTTCTAATGAGTGTCTACCAAGTTTGTTCAAATAAAAGCCCTGGGGTCAAAATTGGCCCCGCCCCAGGGGGTCATTGATTTTCCCTATATGCATCATAGTAAAATCTTAAAAAATCTTCTTTTAAAAAATCAAAGAGCTAGAGCTAAGATATTTAGCATCAAAAATGTTCTAATAGGTGTCTACCAAGTTTGTTCAAATAAAAGCCCTGGGGTCAAAATTGGCCCCGCCCCAGGGGGT